AGCTTTAAAGGATAACTCCCGAAAACTTACAGTCAAGAACGGGGGTTTTTCAGTAGAAATCCAACACTACTCATTGTCACGGCACACTGGGTGTCTTCGAGAAGATCTTTATACTTCGGCCGCCGCCCGGCAAACAAAAAAAAAATTATTTAATTTTTAGCGCGAGCGCCAGCGTCAAATCCAACCTCAAGCTTATAAATCCGGCTTTAAAGAGTAAAAATCGAATCATGTTTGCCCCAGTTTACGAGAAAATATTTGATTGATCATCTTTTCAAGCTTCAGGCCCCTATTTGGTATTCTGGAGGAACGAACTTATTAAACTATTTTTGCCAAATTATTGTAAACAGTTTTGTTCGAACTTTTAACACAAATACTACTGGCGTTCCATAAGAGATATTAGACGGTTGCACTCATTTCGCAAACCGAAAGCTGCAGATAATTTCGAAATTGAGATAACTATCTTGTAAGTGCTAAAAGTAGTAAAGAAAAATGAACGGTTGACTTCCTGTTTTTCGTAAACGAAGCCTTTGCCGACGTATTTTTATAGGAGCGTTTTATTGAAATGTAACAGAAGTTTCCGCTTACCACCTGGATTTTCCTCAAGACCGTTACTTGAACAAGTCGAGTCTGAAATCAGAAAAACAATTAGAGTAAGTTCTGTTGAAATTATTTGAAAAGTCCTGTTACCTGATTCTTTGCTGGTTGTTTTTTCCCTAACATAAAATCCATTTGATTCATATTCTTCATCTGAAACCCATCAAGGGCGGGAATAAATAAGAGAAACGTTTTTTCAGAAGCAGCACTTACCATTATTGGAATCGTTATTGAGCATATTCCCTTCGACCAAAGAGCGCCTTGTCCTGGAGGACTCATAAGTGGCAATCACTTCTAAAAAGTTGAATGAAATCCGTTGAAAAATACCGCCTTATTATGAAAAATCCACTACTTTACCTGTCTGGGTATTGATATTTTTCATATTAGAGGTCAGAACGAAGAAAAACTTCAAAGCCGATGTCAGAAGCCTTTGTTTACGTTTGAAAAATGTCACAGCTCAGAATCAAGCTGGTTTACTAGTAAGTTTCACAGCAGTCTGAACTTTTTTTATCCTCAATTCGCGCGTAAAACTTTCCAGTTCCGTTCACAAATTCACTAAGCTTCTTTCACGCACTGTTATTATGTATGAGCAGGTTCGTATTATTGAATTCCACTAGAATTTTTCATTTTAATTGGAAACTTGTAGTAACTTTCGCACTTAATTCAGCCAGAGACAACTTGCCTCTGATTCAGCTGAAAACTCAATAATGGCGGCCCCCGACGCGATATTCCAACAACGCATCCTTCCTCAAGCAAATAATCTCGCTATCCCGTTTTAAATGAGACAAAACATGCTACGCATGTCTTTTACTACGTCAACAAATCAAGGTTATGAGTTACAACGTTTCGACTTTATCGTGGCCTGAAAGCTGCTTGCTTACGTTGAGTTCCACAAGGTGGCGATAATATCACTCCTTTGGTTGACACCTTTGAGGTTAGTTAATTAAAGGTTTTTTGTTGGTTTTAAGTTGGATTAAACCGTCAAATTATATCAGCCTTATCCGATGGGTTAAAGCATCCTCTTAAATGATAAAGCAGAAATGGTTGGGGAATAGTGTTTTTAAATTCAACATGGCTGCCAACAATAAAAATTGACGGTTTGGAAGGACATTTTCACTTGAAAAGATTTGATGAGTCGCACATGCGCATTCCGCTTTTTTGCTGGATACATCAGAATATTGCAATAAATCCACATTTAAATCAAAATCAATACCTTTTTATTTAAAACTGGCTTTTCCGGAAGTTTTAAAATTAACACCCTATAAATCAGGAACAGTTGGAAATCTCCAGTCAGTCTTTACAACTCTTCTTATAGCTCTCTTCTAGAGCTGGATTTTATTTGTTGGATTTTATCAGAAATTCTTATCCTTTAAACCGACTGAAGTAAAAATAAGAAAACGAAAAAGAATATATCTCCGAAACAAAAAAGAATATATCTCCGAAACAAAAAAGAAATGGAATGATCATTCCGATAAGTCGTTTTGAAAGCCTTCTTGTTCTCAACCTTTACGCACCTATATTATATTTACGGCACTTATTTATGGGCACTTATTTATGAGACACCCTATTTATTATACTAGTCTCATATACGGAAACATCTGATTTCTTTTGAGTAGATGCAATAATTTTTTTAAGGATTTTTTGCGTCGTATTTATTTCTTTTGCAAAATCTTGTAGCATTCATGGTTTTTGCACAAACATATTATTTCTGTTTTGTTTCCAATTACTAATTTTCGCAATTAAGTAATTTCTACATTTCTTCACAAAACTTTAATTAAGTTTTTGGCATATATCGGTAAAGTGCTCAGCTCAGATGGATTTTAATGCCACTTGCTACGGTTTTGCTCCCACGTAGGGCCATATTTTGCTAAAAACTCGATTTTTTCTTCAGATTAGGACGATCTTTGAGCTTTAGACTTTGACCATGTCGGTCAGTTAATAATTATAATAAAATGCTTGACAATTAATTTATTATAAAATAATATTATCGCTTACTACAACATTTGCAGTTAATCTCTGAAATTGTTAAATACCAGGCAAGCAGAAATTGGTTTTTGGCGCCAAAACTGTGAATGCTACAAGATTTTACAAAGACTGCAGAAATATTTAAAAAAGACTAATCATTTTGTGCTTCTGAATTTTTGAACTAAAGAGACGGAGGAAACGTGGAAAAATACCGTTTGTTTGGAAACATGTGAATATCTGCGAGGTTCTGTCGATGATGAGCTGTTTTTTTTTATAAAACTGTATTTGTATTATTATTTTCTGAAAAATCTTTGGCAATTATTTTAATGATTTTTATTCTATGGCGTGTCCAAGTTTTTATACAGTGTAAGCCACCCCTGATGGACAGAACTGCTTTGTTGGGTTCACAATCAAATATTGAAGAAATAACTAAAAATCGACAAAATGTACATCTTTTTCTGTGCGATCGGTGTAGATTTTCAGGTTGACTGAGGACCGATTTTCAGAGAAAAACAACGGCCAGTTTTTAGAAACTTGCGTTTATCCCGAAGGTGTTTGCAAACAATGAAATTTGTTTAGTTAGCAAATGGTTGTTTTGTTACTCGCAATATTGCCTTTCAATAAGTCACAAGTAATTGGTGATAAGAACTTTTATCAGAAAAGTGATATCGATAATTTCCAGAACGATTTTCTAGCTAATTCAGCAATTATTTTTAGAAATTTATTAAATATCTCAAAAACAAGATAACATGTGAAAAAATAATAAGAGACGAAAACTCGATCGAGGTTGTCAAGATTCAACCTGAATTTTACGAAACCCTGTATATACGAAGAACAAACTACAATAATTTAACCGCAAAAGTTATAACTAGTATTGTCAATAATTCGTTACATTTTTTACTGAACAATCCATGTTAAATAAGATTTTTCAAGGACGCATTTAGCGACAGGTTTCAAAATTTATTGAACTCTGAATCAATGACCGCACCCATACTGTTGTCCTTCTCTTGCTGTTAGTTCGGTTTCAAGTGCCGACATACGTGCAACAGCCAATCAGCGCCGTTTGTTAGCCTAGTGCTTCTACCAGAAACATCGAGTCGGCCATACAAAAATGCGTTCGGCTGGTTACGATGCAAACTCAAGGTGCGCTTCGTAGTTGTATATTTTAGTTCCAATCATCCGCCAGCAGGTCGCGCATTGACATTTATTTGTAATTCGTAGCGTAGTAGTAATCATTTTCGTAGTTCGCAACATTTATGTAACGTAATTTTTACAATTCGTTAATTTGTTTCATTTTACATTTCATTACATTAAATTTAATTAAAACATTTAAAAAATTATATTTATTACCCCACTGATCGAATTTTGTGCATTTTTGGAATTTCTATTTAGTCATTTTGCCAATTTTTGACTGACTTATTAGCCCAGTTGCGTGGTTTTTCACCTTTCGAAAATTGGGCTTCAATAATACATTTCTTTAAATACAAAAATGCTTCTTACGCCACTGGAAATTTTTTGGAAAAAAGCATTTTTCTCTCATTTTTTTTCAATAAGTTTGAAATATGTGAAAGCGCTGGGATTCTTGTCTGATTTTCGGAGTATTTTTCACAAACAACTGCGGCTACGTCTCTGGAATGTTCTTTAAAAAATTATATGTCGATAATTTGCCCAGATCGACATGTGCATGTTACGCCACTGAAATACGGATATTTTGTTCCATAAGTTCTAAAAATGTCAAGCGAATTCCTGTTTTAGATGATTTTCTCCAAAGGCATATGGCTCCATAAGGCTATAGGCCCAAGGTAACAGAGAGCTCTTAATGGCAAAACGATTTTCATTTATTTATTTCTCGAAAATCTATAACATCCAAAAGACGCTTGCTGCATACAAACATTAGAAATTTCAATAAAAATGCGCGATTTTTCGATTATTGGGTAACTCATACACCTCCAATGGATGACTTGCAACATTTGGAAAATTTGTCTTCAGTACTAAATTTTTCAAAAACCACTAGGTACAAAAATTTTTGTTGCGCTTGTAAAAAAATCACTTTTCTTTATAGTTTCGGAAAGAGTGAATGCTCTCGCTTTTTTACTGATTTTTGAGTAATTTTTGCACAATCTACTGCTACTGCCTATTAATAATTTCGTATTGAAACTTTTCTTTAAATAATTTATTTAAAAAAAAATTAATTTTTTAATAAAAATAGGCAAGTGGGGATTTCTTCAGTGTCTTGGTACAAACACTGCCAACACTTTTTACTTGGTAGCAGGAATAATATATTATAAATAATTTTTTTTTAGTTTATGCACTAATCCGTTTTGCACATTTTTGGGCTCTTCCTAAAATCTTGTAGTGTTCATAGTTTTTGCGCAAAAAATATTTCTGTTTTTGACATCTCATGAACAGAATAAGTAAGTTTTTAGCAAAATATGGCACTGAAGTACAGGCCTGAGTAACACTGTGTTGAGTTGCGCTATTGAGTTGCGCTATTGAATTGTTGTCGCTCTCTGAGTTAACGCGTTATAACTAATTGGTTAATGAGTTATAATTCATTTATTAAAGCTTTATGAGATAATACGGGGAAATATATAAAATATATATCTAATTGTTAAAATTGGTCCTGTTAAAATATAGCGATCTTCTACAGGACGTCTTAATTCATTAATTAATTATTAATTCAATTCAAATTAATAGAAGAATAATAGTTATCGAGATCTGTTAGAAAATAAGGAGACTGGAATTTTCACATTTAAAAAATGGTTATTAACATTTTTTCTGAGTAACGTTTTACTACTTTCTTCAATCAACTAAAGAAAAGTAATTTAGACTTTCCCAGCAACAGAACTGAGTACAAAGAAAGTCGACGAGTTTTCTTGTATCTCTTCATTTTTTGCATAAATGATTCAGTTTGCCAGTATTTTACAGTAAAACGTTAGGAAAAACGCTGTTTTCCTGTTTAGAGACAGTGTTGTTTAGACATATACACCCTAAAAGTGAAGAAACTCCAGTTTCCAAGAGTTTCCAAATAAATGATAAATGATAAACTTTCGCTGTTTCAGATCGGGGAAATATTTTTGGAAGAAGACCCAGAAATAATTATTATGGTTTGGTCCATAATTCGAAGGTGCAAAAAGTTTGTCAAACATTTTTGCAAAGCAGTTAAGGAGGCGAGTGTTAAAATAAAATTTATCATATAATTTTTCACAGAAAATACTTAGATTGGTAAAACTAAAAAACAATGCGATTTTTGCGTAGAAATAATTGCTTAATAGAAACTTTGTGAACACTGGAAACACCTGGAAATTTAAACTGAATACTATTATTTGCTTTTTGTGCCGCCAAAATTCGAAGTTGAAAAGGGTTTTCTAAAGTTCCCTGCAAACCGATGAATGGGGTGAATTTTCTAGAATAATTAATTTTGTCATTTTTGACTGAAAATAATGCTTTTTTGCGATTTCGATTAAAAACTTTTAGTTTTGTTATCGGTTTTGGAGAAAACCTTAATGGGTTTCGGGAAAAAACGGTAGAAATTTTCGTTTTTGTCCCGAATTCGACACTAAAAACAGTTTTTGTAAATTTTTTACAAAGCTATAAATTTATCTTGTAATTTTTTGCGTAAAAGTCCTCCAGATTTTTAAGGGAAACTCTACAAAATAGAGCGTTTTTGAGTAGAAAGTAAAACAAAAAAAATTCAGTCGAAACTAAAAAAACACATTTTTAAACAAATTCTACAGTCGTCAGAGGTGACGAGATTTCCAAATAATCTGTTATAAACTTTCGCTTATTCTGTTTGTTTTTTGATAGAAAATTGTTTGATTTTTGCTCCAAATTCGAAGCTGGAAAGGTATTTCGAAACTTTTTACAAAGCGACGAAGTTTTCGAAATTTATTTAATAATTTTTCGCGAAAATATGTTTAAGTAAGACTTTTGAAAATTGAGCATTTAGAAGAAAGAGTAACTTGGCTAAAACTGGAAAATTCTGAAATTTGACATTTTAAAGGTATTATTAATAAATGGCATTTAAAAAAAATTCTAAAAAAAAATTAAAAAAGTCATCAACAGAACTGAATTACTGCGCCGGTGCGTTGGGTTGGCGCACCAAGCCATTTGCGAAGCACTGCTCCAATTCCTAAAAATTCACTGAATTACCCAGGCCTACTGAAGTATGAACAAATCCACATCAATTTTCACTAAAATCTATATGAAAAAGGAGAACAAAAATGTTCAGAAAGGGTCAGTGCATCGACTCAAAAAAAATCTGTTGATTGGAGCTTGGAGCTACCAAATGAAAAGTTGTGGTAGTTTTTGTACCAAGACACTCAAGAATTCCTCCCCTGTCGAAAGCAGATGAAATCGGTTGCTTCATCAAAACATGAGTTTTACATCGTTAGTTACATCTTCCATGTTCATCCAAATTTAAAAAAATATATTTTTGAATTTGGACTATCAATAGCAGAGGAGCCAGGCATTTTTCGTTAGTAATAATTAGGTCAGATTGTCTTTTTTTGATCTAACTGTTGATGCCGAAAACTTTATTGTTCTGTATAAAACGGCAAACAAAAAATACCTACTATTTTTTTAGACCTATAAACCTACAATTTTTGTCATTAAAAAAGGCATATTTTTCATGACAAAAGACAAAAGACAAAAGACGTGAGGAAATTCTGTCTTTTTTAAAAACAAAAATTGTTTGAGGCGAAAAACCCAAAAAAAAACCTGAAAAATTGCAGTTGTTCAAATGGTCATGGTCCAGATCAGTTTACAGACTAACCAACTACAGAACTATTAAAATGCACGTTTATCAATTCCGCAGGATAAATGAAAATGTTACGAAAAACTCCCGCTTTTGAAAGAACCACTCTGCTTAGAGATAGAAATAAACTGACCAGTCAAGAAAAATGACAAAATGAGCTCTTCTACAAGCACCAAGTTCAAGTGGAGATTCCCAAGAAAATTCCGAATCGTGCTGAGCTAATTAAGTTGAAAAGTTCGGTGCCCAGCCAGAACATTTAACATTGTTCCGGTTGGAAAGGAGCACCCAACGTGCACCGGATTGCATACAAAGTAACTTCCACGCACTTTTAAAAATGCTTTTTTTAACTTCCTTAAATTTTCATAAATAAAAAATGCAACAGGAAAGCGAACATTTGGGTCTATAGGAGCTAAGTATTTTAAAAGAATTTGTCGTTTAGCTGATTTTGTGCAAATTTCTACACAAGCACCAAGAACAGCCTCATCAATAATTTGAATTGTTAGCAAATAGTCCATACCAGATGCTAAGAAAAAATTAGAAAATGTAAAAAATTTGACCATAAATCTACTTTTGCTCTTCCGGGAAATAAAACGAATAAATAAAAAAAGTCTTTAATTATCTTTGATGAAGGCCATTTGTAAAAGCGGAACTACCGCTATGGAACTGAGATCAGCCAGGACCGCTTCAATATTGGCTAAAGTGTTCACTTTCATCAGATTCTGTTTACGAAACACCACAATGGCTAAAGCCAAAACCGGAACCACTTCTAGGGAATCATAGGCCAAAATGATATCCCACAACGTTAAAAGCTGCTCAGGAGGGAGATGGCCGCTGAAAGCTCTCATCATCCACTTGATTACCACCCGCAATCTAAAACGAATAATGTCTCTAAAACATTAATCCATATCGATGCATGCATAGTTACGGATGTATTCTGCATTTCTTGAAATGATGCCACAAGCTTGGCTCGAAGCATTGCAGCAACTTCTCGAACTGGAGGCAAAGAGCAACGATGCCCTGAGGACTGGCGCATACCCTGTGCAATCGATGCCAGTACCTGAGGTAAAAGCCTCGGAAGGCGAAATAGAGCTCCACTGCGTTGTTGTAGAGGTAGCAAAAGGGGGCAGCTGAAAATTTACATTGCGATTGGAATGAAAAACTTTGAACTAAAGAACAATATAAAACCTTAATAATTCACGTTCTCAAACGTTATCAAACTGAAGTCGGAATTTAAATAAGAATTAAGAATTTAAAAGTTTCCCTGCTTTTAATATTGATTTTTACTCTTACCGTACATAGTAAACCCATGGAATGGTATGACCCCACTAGGAGGAAACACCAAAGTGTTTTCGGCGGTATTCGGTCGGCCTTTCAGACCCACTTGCAAAAAAGCTGGCTGGTTTGGTAGTTGCTTCAAAATATCCGAGTCTCGTGAAAAGCACATCATCACCTAGAAACCTTACCTAAAAACATCGTTGAGTCGGGAATTAAGGAATGTTGCTTACTTGGTACAAGACGTCTTCAAACACAAAGTACTGATCGTCATTCGAAGCAGTTAAATTGATGTCTTTTATTATCAGCTTGTCTATCATGAGGTCGTACTGGAGGACGTTCTGTTTTAAGGAGTCGAAGTGTGCGATTTGCTAAAATCAACCAGAATGACCCTCAACTTATTTGAGTCCGAGTGGAAAAATTTACCACGGGTTTCACGTCGGCGCCCAAAATAAGAGTCCACATTTTGGAGCGCATGCATTTGGGGCAACCTTTTTTCAAAAATTCCTGAGCCAATGGAGCGTAATTTTTCGCAAGAATTTTCTCGCCCAGTGCAATCCGTTCAGCCTCCAGTGTGGCATAGTTCTGGCTGGGGTTTACGAAATTGTTGCTGTTCAATATCAGATCACCTCTCGACAATTCTGCGTACATGTTTCTCTGGGAAAAAAATTAGTTTTTACGTTTTTAATGCGGTGTGTTGATGTTATTACCAGTTCGACTAAGTTTTTCACTTTGAGGGGCATCTGAGCGAATTCCCACTTGTTCAAGTCACTGTAGAGTAGGAAGTATTTAGGATGTCTCCAGATTAACTAGTTCATTCGTGCTATACCTCTTTACTTCTTCTTTGCAAGGCCCTTTGAGGTTGATCAAGACTTCTAGAAAGTCTTTCGGTGCGTACACTGGCCGGTATTTATGAATATCTATCTGAAACAAAGCGCGTCTTAGTTTGTGTTTTTCTGAAAACATGATATATTGCAAGATATTTGGAATTTGTTCTTCGTAAACATTTAAAAACAGAGTTGATGGTGAACATCTGAAATCCAATTCGCCAGCAGGACCCAAACTATTTACCGACTTCAAAGTTGCTTAATTCGTTCCATTTGTTCGCGATTTCTTCTTTTTCATTGGTTCCCCGTAATCTTGCTAAACTTATCCCCAGTTCGCTGCTCATCGAGTTTAGAGACTTATGTATCCTCTTGTCCCAGTGAATTTGAGCTTTCCTGCGAACGATCCAGTTGGAAATAAACGAAAGTTAAAACTGTGATTTTACCGAAAAAATGAGTCGTAAGGACTGGAGTTATTTTTCTTCGTTTTCACCCATCTGTAAATGTTATTCTTCAGTTCCGCCTCCAGGCCATGATCCTGCATGGCTTTCAGTAGGGAATTCTTGAAATCCTCCACTCGTACGTTGGGTGTTGACACCAGCTTCTGCAAGCAGGAAAAACTGTCCGGATAATGTTCACTTCCAATTGAAGAGATGTTTTTGATACGAATTCATGACGGTTGTAATGCTGCCATTGTCAATGTCCTTTTACTCACTTGCACATCTTCAAAAAACGTTTTATATTCGGTGGCGTTTTTCAAGTCTTCACATATCTTGATCGTTGTATGGTGGATGCTGCAGTCCTTCAGTTCTTCCATGTCGAAACCTACCTGTTAAGGGTTGAAGGAATTGTTCACGTTGCTGCTGCAATCGCTCCAATATGCGCCCTTTCGCAGCTAAGCCATTATTGATAAAACTTTGCCGCAAATCTCGTGACTATTAAAAATCGATTAATCCATGCGATCCAGTTTATTTATCCTAGTTGGCTTCAAACAGTTACTTATGCTGCAAGCACCCACATTCTGGATGGTCGATCTTTCCATGCATTTCCTCATTCACAATGAAATCTCCCAGTTTGCCTATGACTTGATTGTACTCACTGTCTCCAGTTTTCACTTGCAGGATATCGTTGATTTTTTCTGGGAAACAACGATAATGTATAAATGGTGTAGTAATTAGTGACCGTGATGAAATAAGTAAAAGTCGCCTTTTTGGGTCTGTCTTTTCGGTAAATAGGTGGTGGCAAAATAAAACACTGTTTTTTATGGGTCGACGTTTCGACTATATTTAAGTCATCCTCAGGGCTCTATGAAGTCCACCGAGCGTCGCAGCGAAGGTCACAGAACATACCCCCTTTTATATTTATATTTATATTTAGGGGGGATATTTTGTGGCGAAGGTTAGCGACACACAGTGCATAATCAGCCTGCCATGCACAGACAAGTGATCACGTGACAAACATTAAACTAGACACTTCAGTGCAGTTTGAAGTACTCGTCTTTATCTATGGTTTGAAGTACGCCTGGGTAACACTGTGTTGAATTACGCTTTTGAGTTGTTGCCGCTCTCTGAGTTAATGAGTTTTAACTTATGGCCGGTGGCGGAATTTTAGCACCTAACAGAAAAAGGCATCAACATATTGCTTTTGCGCATACGATTGCTTGAAACTATTTGGTCCAAAACGAAAAAATCCGGAGGTTTTGAAGAAACTTAATAAAAAGCGATGAGGATTACGAGAGTTTTCCAAATATTGATTATACGCGAAAAAAGACGATAAATAAGACTAAACTGTAAAGTCGACGACTTTTCTTGTTAAATCCGACTTTTAACTTTTTTTGCATAATATACTCTCAGTTTTCTAGTATTTTTCAGTAAAACGTTGTAAAACAGGCGTTGTTCTGTTTAGAGAGAGTTTTGCTCTCTGGCCGTTTTTTCAAGATAATCCTAATTACTTTCCGTAAAAACTGAATAAGATTATTTGGTTTTTGGGGACAAATTCGAGGCTGAAAAAAGTTTTCCAAAGTTCCCTGCAAACCGAAGAATGAGGTGAACAAGAAAATCATCAGAAAATAATGACTTTTTGCCTTTTTGATTAAAAACTTTTAAGTTTGTGATTTTTTGAGAAAATCTTAATGATTTGACAATCTTTCGGTAAAAAACGGTAAAAATTAATTTTCTTTTTTGTTCCGAATTCGAAATTCGACGCTGAAAAGAGTTTTTGTAAAATTCCTACAAAGCTATAGATTTTTACTATCTTGTAATTTTTCGCGTAAAAGACCACTAGATCGTCAGTATTTTTAAGTGAAACTTTACAAATGAGAGCGTTTTTGAGTGGAAAGTAAAGCAAAAAAAATCACTCAAAATTAAAAACCAAATTTTTTGACAAGCTCTACAGTCTTCAGAGGAATAGAGGTGGCGAGTTTTCCAAGTAATTTATTATGAAACTTTCGCTTAATCAGTAATCGTTTTTTAATAGAAATTTATTTTATTTTTATCCCAAATTCTAAGCTGGAAAGAGATTTCTAAACTTTTTACAAAGCGACGAAGGAGCCGAGTGTTCTAATAAAATGTAGTTCATAATTTTTCGCAAAAAATACTTTAAAATTGTCAGTATTTTTAAGTAAATCTTTTGAAAATTGAGCATTTAGAAAAAAGAGTAACTTTGCTAAAGCTGGAAAATTCTCAAATTCTGAAGAAACGTGAGAAATATTATTGATAAATGGCCCTTAAAATAAATCTAAAAACATGTAAAAAAGTCATCAATATTTTGCCAGCAACGGAACTGAGTCACTGCGCCGGTTGTGTTGGGTTGGCGCACTAAGCCATTTGCGTAGCACTGCGCCACTCCTAAAAATTTATTGAGTTCCCCGGGCCTAGTTTGAAGCCGTCCAGATAGTGCACCAATAGCAGAACAATTTAGTGCTCATTAACCAATTACGGACTAAGTTCATTTGAAGTTCAGGTTAAAAAAGCAGCAAAACTGTACATCGGGTACCTGAGCAGACTCAAAAACAGCGGCAAAAGTATTTAGAGGCTAAGCCTGGAATCCAGCAAACAGGGGGTTTTTTAGTTGGTAAAATCCAACACTACCTTCAGCACGGGCTGGAGGTGTCTTTCGAGAAGATTTTTTATCCCCCTTGCGCCCGGAAGCAAAGCCAAAAAAATGCAAATATGGCACTAACTTCATAGAGCCCTGACGATGACTTAAATATAGTCCAGACGTCGGCCCATGCAAAATAGTGTTTTATTTTGCCACCATCTATTGACCGAAAAACCCACAGACCTAAATCGGCGACTTTTACTAATAATGTATAAGTTTCAAAGCCCGGATCATTTCCGTTGGGTTTACCATTTTCACCCAGATTATCTGGATGTTTGATAACCAAGGGTTTGTCCATTGCCTGCTGGCTAAGCACCAAAGGAGGTCTGAAATCACATCTCTGGGAGGTTAAAGGTATATCCCAATCAACTGGCAACTGGAAAGTTTTCTTCTGATTTTCCATTAGTTTCCTTCTTATGTCTGCTTCTGAAACAGAAGAATGATGATATCTATAAGTTTTCCTGCTGATTTCAACAAGTTATTGCAAATAGGGTGAATCAGAGCTGAGAAGTTGATCGATTTTTTTTAGTTTTCGTTCGCACTTGCATCTTTGCGAACTGTTTTAATTCATCTAAGTTTGTTGCCTGTTTATTTGCCTGATTTGTTCTTTTTTTCATTAGTTTTAAATAGTCCGTTGGTGCTTGCGGGTCTTCATTTCGTTCGGTGTGTTGTGTCTGCTTTTATTTCACTGCGGATTTTATATAATTTGCAATTAGTGTATTTCCACAGATGGAAAATTTTGTTTTAGGGAAATATATTTTGTTTTGAATATTGATGAAAATGACACCAAAAGTATATGAATTTGAGTTGGTTTTTTACATTAATCAAGAGCCTATTCCGAGAGAAAATTATTTATTAAAATTTGTTGTTCTTGCACAAGGGTACTGGCTGCAGCCCGTTGTTCTTCATTTTTTGCTTTTGGTCTAGTGAAGAAGTCATGGTCATGAATGCATGAATTATTCAGGCATTTTTCACCTAGTTTGGGCCAAAAACTGCTCAACAAAATGAATGCGATACGGTCGAATTTTCCCTAACTTTGGAACTGCATAAATTCTGATTGTTTATAGCGATTTCGTGTCTGTTGGAAGCGTTATTGAACCCCACTGGTTTTCTGTTCAATCTTTTGGTAAAAATTAAGCAGATCAGATACATTTTCTATAGGGTGGAAAATACAAAAATGTAAAATTTCGGACAGTGCGGAAAGCTCCTAGTTTGACAAAAAATGATTCTTGCCTCTCAACACCAAAAGTTTAAAGATAAACCAAATAGCTCGAAGGCGTTTTTTAATTTTTAAGCCATCTCTTCTATTTACAAGGCGGTCTCAAAAAATCTACTTTTTGGTCTTGCAGCGATAAGTTTTCTTGGTCCGTTTTTCACGATCTTGGGCTTATGTTGATGTGAGACGAAAATTAGATATACAGAGGGCTGAAAAAAATAAAGTTGAAGTAAGATTTGGCTCGGAAATCCGTGATTCTTATTTAACGGTGATTTGTTGAGCAGTTTATCTTGTGAAAATGCCTTTCCGTTTTTGAATTCATTATGCTTGATTGTGGAAAGTTGTCAAGCTATTTTCCAGACATTGATTTTGATTTGTTAAATATTTTTAGTTTTTTCTAAAATAGTATTTCGTCAACTTCCATCTCAACTAATATAGGTTTTGCATTAAAATAAAGTTACTAAGCGTTAAAATAAAGTTCGGTCAAGGTATTTGAAGCATTAGATGAAGTATTAGATGCAAAACTATTTTTTTGAATCCGCTATGAGTTCACTCGGATGGATTAGTTTTCCGACCATTTACCTATGTCGCAATAATCCACCTGATACACGCTTTTGCCATTCAGAATCTGATCTCCTTTAATTGTCAGTCGATCCAAAGGGTTTTGAAAAAACATCTGAGCAATCTTTGGTTTTTCTTGCTTCATCTATGGGGTAGTGAACAGAAGTTAATTTTTCAGCTGATTGAAGTACATTGCAATCACCTTCTCGAGATAATCTTCCCCTGCTTCATTTGGAGGCTGAATTGAATCGTCTTTGTCTAACTCTAGAAAATTTCTAAAGCCTTCACAGACCGGGTCTTTGAACTCTTGACTTGTGCCACCCTTCTTAATCCTATGAAATAGTTCGAATTTTGCCTTATGCAAGTTCACGCAAAGCAGTGTTGAAACCTGTTGATTTTCCTTTTCACATAGTCCTTGTTGTATATCGTCAAATAGTGGCTCAATGTTTGCCGCTCTTCCGAAGTCATCGTCAATTTTTCCTGGATATGGCAATTTGCAAAAGTTGACATTGACAATGACGTGACTAACCCAAGTGCAAAACAGATCCAGAATTTTAAATTCCAGTACTTAAACCAGTTTTTTGCTTTGGAAAAATGGCACAGGCCTTTGTTTCGACATACAAGAACCATTACAGATGGAACTGCCAGCCGAGAGTCGCACTGTAGGTATATAATCAATCTTCAGCTTTATTAGTATCTGTAGTCTTGACTTGGACAATGTAGATACGATGCTTCCAAATTAACAAAATTGGAACCTGAAGGGGATTTATGGCTGTTGGACTTGAATGGAGAAGCGGAGGAAGAGGTAAAGCTTGCAAATAATGCTGGGGCGAGATTCATTTTACGACATTCTTCAGCTAAAAAATCTAACTAAAATTGAGACAGCCATTAACAAGCTCTATCTGAGACGCCTAAGGTCTACCTACCAAATTTCCTACTGTGATAAGCTGGTGAAACAGACAACAAGAAGTTAGAGATTTGCATTGAAACAGAGGCGTATAAAGCATCTGGTTAAATTTTGATACACAGGGAGTTCAGAGAGTCAAGTTAAAGGCGGAAATGCGCAAAGAGCCATCGAAGTGCGCAGCAAAGATAGTTTTCTTGATGATGAGCTGGAAAACGAACTGTTGGAATATTGCAAAAAACTCTACGGCAGCAGAAGTCAAAAGATCATCCCTCCTCTGAATTCTGCTAGAAATGGTACTTACCATTAGGTAAACGCGTAAATAGCAGGGAATATTTTAATGTTTTTTAGTGTTTGGATATATGAGACCCACAAAACTGCTCACACCTTTGACCATATATCAAAACGAATATGGTCGCGTTGGGTACAATATTTTAAAGGGCGCTCAAGAGATGAACGACAGATAAGTTTGCAATCATGTTTAGTCTTTATCAGGCCAAATTTCAGCGCGCACAAAAATTTGTTTTTTTAAATAAAATTGCTTCTTCATATTCAATGCGGCCAAAATAAAAGACAGCATAAAATATTGAAAATCGTAAATGGTCAGCGCCGGCTGCTCAATATGTGCACATGTGCAACTCAAATATATAATTCTGGAAATACTACTTTCCGTGAATGGCTTGCTTTTGCCGATTTACATTTGTGTAGTTAACTTGATTGGTTACAGTTAAAAAGAAACTCTGTGCCGAAGAGATCCAGTATACGTCCAAAAGTATTCTGTTTCTTTTTGTCTTAATTTCACTTTGAATGGGATGCGGGATTGCCGAACGCTTCAATTTGTTACAATTTTTGGAATACGTCGCCATACCCGACTAAATTATTTTATTGTCATTATTACAATTACATACTATTGACCCGATATTATAAAATAAATCACGAATGAGAGTCTAGTATCTGGAAACGTTAGTCCGTTTGGCAGCATTTTGTTTAACATGGTTTAAGAAAAACTGAACTTTTGAGTCGATTATTTTAGATATCTCACTATTTATCTCTACTAATTATTAAATCATGAAAATCATTGATAGTATCTGGAAAACTTTAAGTTTCAAGGCTTAGCAAATGTAAATTTCATTTTCACCGTATTTATACGGAACTTTTCGATGACAGTTCGGCAACAGTGCAAAGCGCAAAAAGCGAGATGACAATAAGCTGACACATGTCATTGTGACAGTGATGTGTTTATTTTTCGTGTTTTTAAAATAAATTTTCTTGAAAGCCACATACATTGGTAGATTTGTTGGCATATTTTCATATTTGGAAAATCAGCGCTCATGTCAAACCTACAGGAGGTAGCGACGGACGATTTGTTGTCATTTCAAGACTATACAGTGCCAGTGCATGTTCCATTAGTTAGCAGTACTGTATCAGTACCAGTATCTCAAATTGACGTGTCAGGAAACTTAAAAAGCACCTCTGTTCAGTTAGAAGGCGATATGCAACAAATTCGGAGCTCCAGTAGGCCTGTAAACGTTCCAGAAATGGGTGGCGCGAGAGATGCTAATGATGGTATGACGAAAGAGACTAATACTTTGCAAATACAAATAGTTTTAACCCTGGTGGTTTCTTTGTAGAAGTCCCGCCAGCAAAATCCTTCTGGACTATTGAGTATTACCAGAAGTTCTTTGATGTGGACACCAAAGATGTTTTGGAACGCATCTTGGCGTCTGTGACACCAAAGTGGGACAACTCTTTGAAACATCACTTGAGAACCAAGCCCGACTTATACGGACCATTCTGGATATGTGTGACTCTAATTTTTACGATTGCCATTAGCGGCAATGTGGCGAATTACTTGCAGCATGCCAGTACAAAGTACCATTGGAAGTACGATTTTCATTTGGTCTCTTATGCTGCTACCACGATTTGCTTATATGTGACTTTGGTTCCTCTCACTTTATGGGGTTTATTGAAGTATACGTCCATTACTAGTGATATTGAGGAACTGGAGCAGGATAGCGTAACGCCTGGTGCTCTAGAGCTGGTTTGTATATATGGTTATTCACTGTTTATATACATTCCTGCTGCTGTTTTGTGGTCCATTCAACTCTACTTTCTCCAGTGGCTGCTGGTCCTTATTTCCGCCTTTATTTCGGGTTCGGTGCTCCTATTAACTCTAATGCCTGCATTGAGGCTTTCAAAAAACAAATTCCTCTTGATACTGGGAATCGCTTCATGCCATGTTCTTCTAACTGCTGGATTTATGCTGTATTTCTTCCATGTTCCAAACACATTGCCTGCATATATGCCTCAGGTTGTTACGACTAAACCTGTCCTGCCTCTTGTAAATGACACGTCCGGATAAGTGTTTGCTAAGTATCTTTGATCATTTGTAATAGAATAGAGTTCTATCAGGAATTAACACTGTATAAGGACTGAGACTATGTGGATTTTTTTAATGTGATGCTTAGGTTTAAAGTTTTGTAAATACATACATGCACATCGGATATTAGCTTTTATTGTCCAATTGATTATTATTTTTATGGCGGCTAAGCAGTTAATTAAACATGGACTATTTATCGTTATAGTTTGCTATTGGATTTGTCATACACATTCAAAGTTTAGATTTATTTGATTTTGATTTGTAACATTGAGCCTACAACCTGGAAAGTATGCAATTTCCCTGTATGTATCTAGAAATTGTCCCGAAACAAAAGCTTTTTCAGGTGTAAATTTGACTTTATTGAACACATTCGAATTCGGAAATAGAACAGATAGCATAGAAATAGAGTAGATTCATTGGAATTCAATCACAATATAGCTAAAAGACCTCTTAAAAATTCAATTGATGTTATTGCAAAAATTGGTGTTAGAAAGCGTTATGTAACAGAGCAATGTCCTTAATCGGTTACTTAATTTTATTTTGATTTTAAAAAGCTTAATAAACTTTAAGTTACTCTACAAAAAATATATATCTTTTCACATACATGTAATAAAAAATTAATCGTCTTAAAGCTGCACAGAGTGTAAAAATTAAACGACACATAAAAATAAAACTATTTACATCTAAAATAACAATTAAAATCAAAATGTCTAAACAAGTCATTACATTTTTTCCCATTTTGAACACTTGTCTTTCGTAATTTGATTTAGTCTCTCGACGTAAATAAGCCCAAGCAAGTTGTATAATATAGCAAAACGCAACATTATGTACAGTTTGCTGATTTATATTCGAGTCGTTACCAGTTGCCAATAACACAAATAAATTAACCAACCAAAAGTAAAGCTTCAACATTTGCCAGACGGGATAGAGATTATTTGTGTGCTTAAAAGCTATAATAAATATAACACGTCTTAATATCTAAAATGTCCTTTCTTTGATTTGCTGTTGTGGTATACCCTGAGTGGTGTGTAGGAACCGTTTCCGTTCATGCCTGAAAATAACAATCAAGATTAAGTAAAGCGCAATAAATTTAGAATTAATAATAAAAAAAAAACGTACTTTGAACAACAGCAGGGGCCGGATCGGGTGGTAAATGGACGGGTGCTCCGCATTTCGGTTTCAAATAAAAATGATAAGCAATGTAGTAAATGAAGGCTACAACCGCAGCAGCTACAGTAAACCATTGGTGTACTCGGTTAAAGTTGGCTGGGTACTCATCGTAAGCTATCCCTCCGAGGAATGCACCTATGCAACGACCTAAAATCGAAAAAAAAAAGTTTTAGCCAAAAGAGCGAAATAAAATGAGCAAATTGATCTTACCTAAGCAGAAATGCGCCACTACAGGCAGAGCTTGGCCACAGGCTGTTAACTTGCGAGGCACCAAATGCCTCAGGTAAAGAACGGCAGTTACGTACATCACATGGAGTGTGAAAATCTCCAAAAACTCGCACAAGAATAGAAGGGTGGCGTTTTCTATACATATTAGAGCTGAGAAAAGATACCAATTAGGAAAAACACTATCTCAAAGCATCGCGTAACCAAAAAAAAAATACTGATGAGAAACTATGCACATGTTTTTTTGAATTATTTAATTTTACTTACTAAATAGATATTAATTTTATAAATATGCTAACAAATTTCAAATTTACCCATTTAGTCAATTGGAAAGTTGGATACTGCCAACGTTGGTGCGTCCTGATGTCTCAACTTTTTACTGAATGCTCTTTAAAATTTCGAAACTGGCAGAAAACTTTTTGGATTAAAAAAGTTGGAAAATTCTATTCCAATATGCCAACGGTTGTGTTTTTTTTTAACTTTAACACCCTGTAGATCGGAAGCTACGCGCCTTTGGAATAAGATTATAAAACTTAATACATTTTGACAGAGGACACAAAAAACTGCTAATGAATGCTTGTTCGTTTAATGTTTTATTGTTTAGTGCTGTTTATTTCTGTATTTTTACTCGTTCTTATCTGTTAACACCATTAGTAATTTACGAGTGTTTGCCTTTAACGCAAAAATATAATTTTTAATTTTTCGGCAGGGAATCGATTTCTAAAATTACCAGACCCTAATCCTGCAAAACATGCATCGACTTACCAAACACAATGTTTACTTACTGTTATAATAACGTAAAATACTTACTCAAATGGTGACATATGTAGTTGACGAAGCAAAATATGAGGATATTGGAATGACCGCAATAATCCACAATAACTTCGGCGAATATTAGGAAAACAACCGCTGGAATGGCGCCGACAGTAACTGCCAGTCCTATGATCAATGAACTGCCTTCCGGTAATTTGGCCACATGCCTGAAAAAATCAAAATAGTCCCACATGGAGCTGTGCGAGATTTAAAACCACTTTACCAGGGCAAGAAGGAATCAATAGAATTCCAAAACACCCCCAACAGCAAAAGAATGATGCCCAGTGCTGCCGTTTCCAGTCCATACTTTCTGACTGAAGACATCGGAAGCGCCAGTAAGCCGCAGCGGGTGTGCCACCACCACTCAGGAGGACTTAGAGGCATTTTTCTGTAATATTACCAAATAATGAATTCCCTGCAAATTTGCTACGCATTGTTGATGTCGATAAAGACTTACTCATCAGCCAGCAAAATAATAACAGCCAGCACCATCAAGACGGTGAAACAAATAATTCCCTCGAAAAAGCGACCATCGGCGCAACCACCAATAATGGGGGCAAACAGTCCGAATCCTGCCACTCCGCAAGCAAATTGTTTGCCTATATCCCCACGACCTGTAGATGTTTCTCTTGTAGCGATCACTACAGCTGTCCCTATTAGAGCTACAGCTGCTGCTATGAAGATATCAGCAAACGATTTTATAAACAGGTACAACCTGCAAGCAACAATGCATGGTAAGTTGGCGCTAGTCAAGTCCCTTGTTGCCTACTTACCAAAAGCTAATGTTGTCATATCCACATTGGGAGCGCTTCAAGAGAGAATCAGTGTTATTGTAAGGATCCAGAATTTCGCACACCACCACTGGGTTACAGTCATCGCTGCCAAACTCTTTCTTTAGTTCCTCAACTTTTTTGGAGGGCATTCGACAGGCAAACGGCTCAGCTGAAGGTACAAATTCGCGTTAAAATCCACCCAAGTGATTACTTCTCTTCCTACTTACCAAATGGATATTTGCACGTGTCGTCAGTCTCATTTTGCTGATTTGGGGCACTAGGAAGCAGTCCCAAGTTCAGTTTTATCGAATAGTACTCAGTGTATACTTCACAAATTGTGCTTCCGCTTGCATTCTTGAAGCACATATGAGGGTAGGGTTCTTGGATGTATTCTGCTGGGGTTTGTGGAGGTGCCACCTAGAGAAAATTGTAAATAAGCTGTGAAAAGTTGAGTATTTCTAAAGGAGCTATTTGACTCCAAAAATCATATATTGTTCCCAGCGTTCATAGTATGTAAAAACTCATTCGTATAGGGCAACTGGTTTCCATAATGTTAGTGTTGGATGTCCGAGATCTTTTTGTCTCATATCAAACTTTAGTAAACTTACGCCTTCTGGTTCATTGATGATGTATGTGCCAGCGTCATAGTAATCCTCACCATATTCTGCGCTTACTTCCTCAACAGGTGGCGATGTGCTCGACTCACCTTTGTAAGCTGAGGTGGCGTTACAAGAGAAAATACAGTTTTTGACTAGAACAGAGCCTTTCTGCAAATGAAATCCATTAAAAACAAATTTAATAATAGAGCTTCCAGTAGACTTACCCCTGAGCCCCAATTGTAACACGTCCTTTCCGCTCCGCACCTGTCTTGTAAAATAAATCCTCCAGCCTCATCGCACATGAACGACACGTTAGGAGGACTCCTCATCTAGAAAAATTAATCTTCCGATTAAAGCTGGCTTTTTACAGTATGACTGACTTACTATCGGCGGAATTAGCGTTAGCAGCCAGTAAAAGATCGTGGCTAAAACACAACATGTTCCAATCATAACTCGCAGATATCGGCCAGTTTTACTGCGAGGCGCTCCTCCAAAGCCACCTGAAAGTTAATTTTGAAGTGCATTGCCCCTAGAGTAAACTTCAAGTTTTACCTGCTAATCGATCAGCTAATGGGGCTGCTACTAGGGGCCCAATTAGGGCTATGAGGGGGGCAATACCTGACACTATAACAGCCTCATCTCTGGAGAGGCCGAGCGCGTTCATGTGCAGAGGGATAAAGGGCAGTAGAGATCCCACGGCTGAAAATTGGCAATGCTTAAGTGCTTTGACGTAGATAGAGAAGGAAAAGAAGCACAATACAGGGAGTGTAAAAATGCACTGCGAGAAATAATAACAGACATATGCAGCAACAAAAGATGTGAACAAAATAAAATTGTCAATAAAGGAGGCGAGGGAATATGAATGTAAACGTTTTAGGACATATTAACAAATGTATACAAACTCAATGTATGATATTCAAATTTCGCTTTCTAAAAAGCCCATTTAGTTCTTTCGGGAATGATACAAAAATCAGCTTTCTTGCTCATTTTGCATCCGAGAAATAAAGCAAAAACGGGACGAAAAACATGAAATTTTGGCATAATCTTGCACCTAAATGACTGATATTAAAATGTCGCTTTCTGGCTCAAAAGTACTTGAATTTCCCCTCATATTGTTATTACTTAATCGAATTTTCAATTCTCTATGCAACGATGCCAAGAACTAATTCTATGCCGCAAATGGTTCTTGAGAAACTTCGAAAAAAGCAGCTTCATGTTTGAGTCGATTTTGCATCTAAAAAAAAACACAAATATAAAACTTCTTGAAATCGAGACTTTTTTGAGAAAACTGCCAACTTTTTCTTATCGATGGTTCACTTTCTGAAAAGGTCGTTTAGTTCTCTCTAGAATGATGTAAAAATGAGCGTTCTGGCTCATTTTGCTTCCAAGAAATGAGCAAAAACGGGACGGAACACATGAAATTTTGGTATAATCTTGTACCTCAGTGTCTGATATTAAAATTTAGCTTTCTAAGTCAAAACTACTCGAATTTCCCCTAATATTGTCATTACTGAATCGAATTTTCTGATGCCTCAAATAGTTCTTGAGAAACTTCGAAAAAAGCAGCGTCATGTTTGAGTCCATTTTGCGGCTCAAAAAAAAACGCGCAAATCTAAAACTTCTTGAAATGAAGACTTTTTGAGAAAACTGCCAACATTTCCTTATCAATAGTTCACTTTCTAAAAAGGCCATTTAGTTCTCTCTGGAATGAGGTAAAACTGAGCGTTCTTGCTCATTCTGCTTCCGAGAAATGAGCAAAAACGGGACAAAAAACATGAAATTTTGGTATATTCTTAAGTGTCTGATATTCAAATTTCGCTTTCTGGGTCAAAACTATTCGAATTTCCAACAAGATATGAGCCAAATAAAATTGTCGATAAAGAAGACGGCGAAGGATGAATGAAATAATTTCAGGGATTATTTCTGTCTTGCCTTTACCAGCTTTTTAAGTAAAGTTTGCAAAATATTGCAAATGCAAAAGATTTCAACATTTCCATTTATTTTGATGAGTACTTATTTAAACTTGCTTCTTTTCAATTTACCTCCAAAGAACAAAAATAGCACGCATTTTAGCGTTAGCAAATTCGAGTTAATCCACTTGATCTTCATTTTGAACTAAAAAAAATGTCCTGCTTCTAGTTGATGCCAAAAAATTATAATGTAAAGCTAGGTAACTTCTTGGTACTCTTCTTGTGCTCTCATCTCTTTTCTGGGGTCTGTTTTCGAGGAAATTGCTGATCCATCTGAAACAAAAATACTAGTTGTAGCTTAAGTTTGATAAGGTTTTTATTGATAAAATATCTAATTAAATAAACAACGTTCTATACAGGCTACCTGATTTGTATGAAAAGGGTCCATTTTTTTAAGTAAGAAGTTTTAAATAGAAAATTGCTATTTCTTTAATGGAACATACTGTCTTAATCTATAATTCAAATCTCTAAAGAATTGAGCCAAGTCGGTTTTGACGAATCAATTTCCTTAACTTTTTGCCTTTCTAAGCTGAACTAAGTGTCCAGCTGCATAACAATGTCGCACCGTTCGTTGGATTAAGTGGTGATTAATAAAAAAACATTCAGTGTGATTAATTCACGTCCAGAAATGGCACGTTTAAGTAAAACTGAGCGATTCTAAATTTTAAAGGTGGTGATAGAACATGAAGTGGTGAATATTTCTCATGAGCTGTATCTCAAAATAAACTCTCAAAATAAACTGTTTAAAAACCATTGCAACGTTTTGTTTTGTTTTCAGTTCGACAAAATAATAGAGATAATGAGAAAAATGCTTTTTACAAGACACAAGAGAAGATGGCCAGCTAGTTCTCCCGATATTGCGCCGCTTGACTTTAATGCTAACAAAGACTTAATTGGGCTTACCCTACACATTGCACATTTCTACACACAACGACAATTGCACTGCAACATGTTCATTCATACTGAAGATTAACACATGAGAGTTTGCGTTAAATGTAATCTACACATTTTTGTCGCAGTTTCTTGCGGTAACTTTACCGATGAAAATGTACAGTAGTTGAATCATCTCGTGGGTGTTCACTGAAATCTCATTTTTCTCTTAATATTCTAAATATAGCGTTACTCCTTAATCACTATTGTGCTGGCTTTAAATTACTCATCAGACCATTAGTAATGGGCCTTTTAAACATCAGAAACAGGGGCAATTGGTTAGAGTCAAACCTTGACTGGTCAGTGTACACGATTATGGTTTTTATTTGCAAATCGATAAAGTTCATTGATTCCGTTTAATTGTTGACATTTAGCAGCTCATTTTCCGCAGAAACACTTCCTCAGTAAAACAAAGAGATGTGATTATGTTGTAAAAAAGGACCGTTACGCTCACGTTGAGCGCATGTGAATAAACGCAAAGCAGGAAATCTCAATTTGTTTAAGTTTTAAGTTTTAAAGTAGACTGACTAGCCAAGCCGCTGACTGCCGCATTTTGTTGCATCAGATGTTATCTAAAAGACGTAAATTTTATAGATTAATATTACTGTTTAATTTTCTGCCGGCTGGTGAAAGTTTCTACATCCACGTTGCTAGATAGAAGAAGATATTTAAAAACTCCATTCAAGTCCTTTAGAAACAATCCAGAGAAAAATTAAGTTGACAAAATTCAAGTAACCTATAAAAAGAAATACATTGCGGCTAGATATACATATTCGCTTTAGGGCATTTTCGACCAGCGCGCCTTAGCCCTCTCTAGACCCGTATTTATCGATATTATATATATATCTGTTAGGAAATTTGATTCTAGATAAATATTGTCGTCCTTCGACAACTACCATAAAATCGATAATTGACTGATTACTGTAGGCGGACCCGATGTATTTTTGTAACCAAACGATTGAAGCAAAAGGGTGGCTTTATGCTTAATAAACCTGCCCGGATTATTTAAGTTTTATTTACCACCCGGATGCCCTTTCTTCCGGTTGATTGATAAACCCACAAACCGTGGAAAAGCTACTTTTTGACGACATTTATGCGATTTTGGTACTATTTGAAATTTTTAGATTATGATTTTTGCACTTACTGTACAATCGCATAATTTTCTGGTTCAAAAGGCTGAATGAAGAGAGTGGCTTAGAAGAGCGCATTTTATAGATATTGTTTATTTTATTATTAGTCTTATTTCAAGTAGTCCAAGAATGGATGGATGATGACTGCCAAAAACAATTAGAAAATAGCATAAAAAAATTCAGTTAGTTCCAGTCAGTCAAAACTATATGGCTCTAGTTCATTCCTTAAAATCTCTTGAACCTTTAATTTAAAATTTATCAAATTCTGTATAAATTTTCGATTATCCGGTAATATGTTGATAGTTTATGAGAGTTTCTTTCTTGCCATTCTCTAAGAAAAAGTGGTTGTACTTGTATCAAAACATCAGGCATTTAAGTTTGTTGCACCGGTATATTTTTTTCGATTTTCAGCTTTCCATAAAACCATGAATTATTCTAAAGAATAGCTTTTGAATGAAATACAATATTTTCAGGTTTTTGTCCTGTTCCTAACATTTCCTTAAAATTTTATTCCATTTTTTATTCTGAATTCCAAACTTACAAATTATAAAATGCAAATAGTGTTTTTATTTAAAAATTTAACCGAAAAAACGAAAGGCAAAATATATTTGATTCAGTTAATTTTAAATTTTCCCTTCATATTTCAATTATATTAAGTATATAATTTATATACAGGGTGATTCGAAATTGGCGTTATACCTCTGGAGGTGTTGTCTGGCAATGTTTTAGGAGTGCAGAAAAATTAGTAAAAAAAATTAATTGTTATCAAAAACTGAAAAATTTGCAAAAAATTATATTAGAAAAACGGCAACAATGTTTTTCAAGGTAATCTGCCTAATTAATATTACATAAATATCTGTTGCTTCGTAATTATTTAAAACTCCGGTATAGACAGTGACAATAAGATAGACAAGGATCAACGGTACTCATAACCTCGAATTATTAATTTGTTTGCAAATTATAAAAACATGCATTTAAGTCTATAACTCCAAACAAATGCCTGTGTAATCACGCTATTATGCACTCTTCTCGAGCTCAAGCTGCTCAATTTATACAGGTGTTCAGTAATCCATTGGTTTAATGTGATCTTACATGCGTGGTAGGAATGTATCCGGTATTTATTTGGTGCCTGAGAAAGTGTCAGTTGTTGTGCAACGTTCTGTGTGCCCCTGAAAGGCTCTTCGGCAATTATGTCCAATAATTGTTCCTCTGTGTCTGGAACCCGAACATCTATTGTCGTCCAATATCTTCCTGGAACCACTCTCTTCGCCCTTTGTTGGCGTAAGTTCTTTCAGCTTTTGCGGTTACTGTAGCATTTCCCCTGAACTAATCGCGTATCCGCAAATTCGTGAAAGGAAATTCAAACTAAGTCACAGTTTGACAAATTATTGTTATTATTGATAAGGGCTATCCACCTGTAACTTTCTGTTAATGACAAAAAATGTCATTGCCGCTTTGACTTTTCATAAAAAAATTGTAGAAGATAACTTTTTTAATATACAAATTTTTCGTAATTTGAAGCAAATATTGTAATTTTTCTTTTTGAATGCTTAAGTATTCCAATATGCTTTCAATTAAACATGGAACACTATGAAAATAATGCTTAATAACAAAGTTGAAATTCAATTTTCAACTGTTAATGTCTTCTAGAACTTTCCAAGTGAGCTCCTGGTACCCCTTAAAAGGAATAACGCCAATTTTGAATCATCCTGTATTTGCTACTGAAAGTAACAAGACTGATACTGCGACATTTAAATATATTTTTTAAAACTCTTGTCGTAAATATATTGGTTAAAAATAGTCACAACTTTTTGGCTGGAAAGCAACTTTTTCTTAAATGGGCAAAATCAAACTCGAAAAATTGCTTTCCCATTTTCGGATAGCGTCTCAATGACTTCTAAAAATGTATCTCTTTAGTAGCCGTTTATGCGATAAATTTTAAGAATTTTAATAAAAAAACTATGTTTCGAACAAATTTAAAAAATCTTGGTACTCGATAGAAAGTCTCTTACGTGACTATTTCGTAGAAACTTGCGAACTATTTACAATTTTTCTAATTTTGTTCAATGAAAATTGCTAATAAATTGTCAATTCTTAATCGAAATATTTTGTAGCAACTTTTGACGGAGAAAATGTGAATTTAGTGTTCCTGACCTCCATTCTGAGTTTTGTTTATTAAAATATAGTGTTTTAAAAAAATTCGAACGTTTTCCACATCAGATGGGAAAAAATATAAAACAACAGAAAACTCGTGTTGCTTTTCATACCTTAAAATATGCAGTTTTCAAAATCTATCCCTGTCCGATTTTGAAGTCATCGGAAGAACGGAAAAATTTTTGCTTGTTTTGCATATCTGATCATGGTTTTCCTCGAGTCAGAGGCAAAAAATGATGAAAATTTGCTTCAATTTTCACTTTTTTTCTATCCTTTACAATTAGCTTTATTTATTTTGATTTATTTTTCTGACTGCGTGTAATTGCTATTATATTCTTTTTCTTCCTGGGCTCCAGTCAAAGTGTGAAACAAAAATTTGTATATCCTTTATTTCATAACTTTTCGGCGAGACATCAGCGCCATCATCAGATTTAAAATTCATTACAACTACAAACACCAATTTACAATTAAAATATGTTGTATAAAAATTATAATTTATAAAGCGTTAAAACATTCAATAGTTCTTGAGGAAAAAAACGCAAATGTAGAAAATAACTCGAACAAATTTAATGTTTTAAGACAGCAAAGACCTAAAAGAACGTTGATTTTTACCAATCATGAGGTATGAAATAAACGATATACAAATTTTTGTTTCATACTTTGACTGGAGCCCAGGAAGGAAAATAATACTTTACCGTTAGATTGTGTCTGTTCTTTTTAAATATTTATAAAATTGCAAAACTGTTTGTAACGTATGGGTATGGACGATTGTGCACATAAATTAGTTCTTCAATACTGGTTATTAGTATCAATATGGAATGATCTTGATGTTTTTTTAGTTCCCATTTTCTGCAAAGAAAACTGTTAACTGTTACTTATTGGCTGCACAAATTTTATCGCACTCTAATCGGACGACGTTGTTTTACTTAGCTTTTATAATCTTCTAGAAAGAAAATTAATTGTGACGGTTATGGTAAAAAAGGACTTGTAATTATACGCCTACCAGTTCTGTTGGGTTTTGATTCGCCTTCTGAAAGTTTTAACCATTTAGACACAGACGAAAAAAGCTGTTAAGCTATAAAATAACAACGCAAGTAAATCTAATAGTTTTAACTTCTCAGAAGGTAATTTGTTTGCGTGAATGTCGCTGAATCAGGAGGCCGAAGTCTAATAAGTTCTGTGTTAAAACCGTTTTTTTTTATTAGTTGAATATTTTTTCCAGTGATATAATAATAATAATAATATCTTTATTAATAGCTATTGCTAGCAAACAAGTACAATATTCATAATTACAATTTTTTACAATACAAAATCAAAATACAATGTTTCATGAAATGTATGCAATACAAGACGCTTTACAGACACTCAAACTAGTATATTTCTTTTTTAAGTACATATTTATTTGGAAATACATACTAGTCATACTACCTTTCTTATTAGGTACGTACTTGGAAATTTTGAAGTCGTACTTGCAAATTAAATTTTTAAATGTAATAATTAAAACGCTGAAACTAACCACTAAATTTGTGTGAAATATCCATTTGAGCACAAAGTTTGCTTTTGTATTTATTCGTCTGAACTAGCTGGAGCAATGTGGCCGAACCAACATTTAATGGATTTTATTGGGGGCGGTGGCAACTGGCCCTAATCATGATTTATTACCTGAGACATAATGAAATTTCATGGAAAATATTCATATTGTTTAGTGGAAGATGCCTGCTGCTCATGGTTATACTTTGGAGATTTATTGGGATATTTTATGGAAAATAAATATTGATCGAGTAAAATTGCTTCGACTCGAATCGTTCCATTTCCTTAAAGGTGTAGGCTTGTTATTAATAAAAATCAACGATAAGCAAGTCGAAATAAATTAAAAA